GAGCGTGTTTCACGGTTGTGTGTTTCGCGTCGTGTGAGCGTGTGTTCACATCGTGTGAGTGTGTTTCACGTCACCGCGTCCGCGCGTTTCTGCCTCGTTCAGTTGTGTCTTAAGCTCCACTGCGTCATCCTGCACCCGTGGGTGTCCCTGGACATGGCTTCAGCCTTCTGCCAACGCCACCCGACCGCTGGGCTCGTCCTACACACTCGGGCCTGCGGTCACTTCCAGCCTGGGCTCTCGTGGCCACTTCTAGGCTTTCTTGGGGAGAGACGGCTAAGACGTACGTGGGTTTGGAAGGAAAAACAAGACTAGGAGTCACGGTGCTGTTAAACGAGAGGCGGCAGACTGAGCTGGCGGCAACGCCCCGGCGGCCTCGGCGGCCGACTGAGATCTAAGCCTGCGAAGGCCTCCGGGTCAGGACGCGCACAGCCAGCGAGGCTGCAAGCTGCCGCCCGTCGCCGCTTCCTCCCTCGGCCTCTGCCCCCGCTCCGTGCTCTGTCCCTGGGCCCTGTGCGGCAGCCCTTCCAGTGCCCCCAGCCACCCCCGGCCTGGCACTGCCCTGCTGGAATTCCTTTTCCCTCAAACTCTGAAAACCTTCAATATGCCTCAGATTATGTCTTAACTGTAGACGGGTCTGTTTCCGGTTTAATGCTGCAACGTGCGTTCGCAGCTTCACCAGCGTCATACTTGTCCCACGCACCCGTGCACAGACCGGCCGGGGGCTGGAGAAGGGAGAGCGCTACGTGCCGTGGCCACCGGGGTCTACGGAGCGGGAGCCCGGCGGTTCCCGTAGGGAGAGTGTCACATCGTGTGTCACGTTCACAGCCACGCAGCAGAAACGAAGGAACGCACGCGGCCTTCGTGAACCAGCAGAGCGTGAAGCGAGGCCAGCGGGCGGCATGCAGCCTCGAGCCCCCGCTGTGGAGACAGCCCCGCCACCCAGAGAAGCCCCCCAAACCATCTACGGGGGGCTGCACTCACGTCGTCAACGGCGCGGGCCACGTCCGGGCACACGGAGCTGCGGGGAGAGATGGCGTCAGTGCACACGCCACGGCCGGACACCCCCACCCCGCAGCACACACGTGCCGCCTCGCTCCACTTTGTTTCCCGCGCCCCGGGCCCCTCCGTTCCCCAGCCTGGACTCGCCCCTCGCCCCGTCCCCCCTCACCTCCTCGTGCGCAGGGCTCCGCTTTCCAGCTCTCCCTTATTCCCTCCCTTTTCCTTGAAACATTTTCCCTCAGACCTGCCTTGCACCTCACATGTTCACACCCCTATTTCTGCTGCACGGGCGTGAGACCTAAGCCTGCACGCAAGTGTCCCCTATGCTACGGCCTGGGGTCAGCGTCCCGGGTGACCGGCACAGGACAGCTGCACTGGCCTTTAAGAACTTGGGCCTTTGCAGGGAAGGCGAAACAGAAAAAGCAACATGTTTCAACATAAAAACCGAATGAACATGAGTGACCTAGGAGGACAAACGAGTTCATGAAGCGTCTCGTGAACCTGCCAGAAGCCGCACGGCTCAGCCCGGCCGTCCGGCCGCCTCTCTGTAAGGATGGAGCGGTCTGAGCCACTGAGAGGCAACGTCCGTAACTTCACTTAACTCTCGTTCATCTGAAGTGCCGTGGCCACGTGTGGTGGGAGCTGCCTCGTCGGGCAGGGCAGGTCAAGAACGTGACGAGAGCATCGCAGCTCAGGACAGCGGGCGCTGCCCTCACGTGCTGCTTCGTGTACCCTCAGGCCTGGCCACCCGCACAGTGCGGGAGGTGCTCAGTCAGCAAAACAAGGGTCCAGAAGGAAAAGTTCAGACACCACCAAAGGAACATGAACTGTCCGTTCCGCATTACGGGGCTGGTCGTGGGCTTTCCAGGGCCTCGTGGGTCGAGTGCTAACTGCGCCGTGTGCACACAGGTGCCACTGGAGCCCTCGTCGGGCAGCCCAGGGCGGGCAGGACGGGGCGGGGCCCCCCGGGGAAGGAAAGCCACCCGGGCTGACGGGCAGAGACTAGTGGGAGTGTTCGCAGCAAACCCGCCCACGAGGCCAGCCCCGTGGAAGCAGGGGGGCTTCTAGGAGCGCAGGACATGCCCGGGGCCGAGGCGGGGGCCCAGAGTTTGGGGCTGCTATGACAGGCCATGGGGCGAAGACTTCCTGGGGGGTAGGGGGTTCCATTGAGAAAAGAAGGAAAACTCATATTAACTATGGTTTTCCAGTAAACACTCGAGCGAATTTCAAATAATGCTACGTTACTAACACGGTCACAACTTTCTCTAAGTCAGAACTACCTGCCAAGCCTCCCGAGGGGCGTGGAGTGGGAACGTGGCAGGCACTCGGTCGGTGGGGGCACCGCCAGCGTGGGTTCAGCCGGCCCTGGGGCGCAGGGCCCACGACACTTGCTCAGGTATCTGGGCCACATTCCAGCCATGTTGGCGGGCCTGCTGACCACTAGCCGTCCACAAGGCCGTCCCATCCAGAAATGACCACCGCATCCGGAAATGGGAATGCCCTGCGCTGGGACCACGGCCAGGGGAATCAGAGGCCTGGGAGTTCACTGCTTTTTCTATGTTTCCCCCTTACCGTGCATGCGCACACACAAGCACGCGCGCACACACACGTGCCTACGCCCATGCACACACACGTGTCCACACACACACCACGTGCACATGCACACGTGCACTTGTGCACATCCATGCACGCACGCGTCACATGTACATGCACACACGTGCACATGCGTGCGCACACCCATGCGTGCACACACACACGTGCGCGCACGCGCACGCACGCACAGTGCGGAAACAAGTCACCTGTCACGCGGAACTGCGCCATCAGATTCATCATCGAAAGGCAGCACAGGACGGATCCGGCAGTGGACTCTGATGCTCCCGTTCAGCTCCTGTGACAGTGAAGTGTGTCACCCTGGCACAGGGAGGAGGCCGCTGACCAACAGTGCCCGCAAGGCACACACACTGATTCGCTCCCCGGGACGCGAGCCCTCGCTGCCTGCCCACATCTCAACTTTTGAAAACACCCCTGTGGAGCAGTTAACAGTGTTTTAGCTTTTAAAAAAATCCATTCTTAAATTTCTTCACTTGGCAAATGAGGGTCACTCGGTAACAAGTATCAAGCAAACACCTTTTAATGGCCTCCCGGGCTAAACCTTCTAGGCGTTTTAGAAGCGGCTTCTGAACCCTGGTGCTTCTGCCCGTCATCTGGACCCTCCACAGGGTCTGTCTGAATGGGCAGCACGAGGGGACGTCGTGGAAACGGAAACCAAGCCTGGCCAACAGCGGGACCGGCGTGCAGTGCCACGCCGAGTGCGTGCCCTCCCGCACGGAAGCGGAGGACGAACCAGCCTCAGTCTGTGTGACTTTACGAGAACACGTCAAAACAGTCAGGGTGCAGTGTGGCCACACGGGTGACTCGGTGACGCTGCTGCTGGCGGCCACCGGGATCTTCAGCGCTTTTTCGCACACCTGCTACTAAGGCTCGTTTCTCCCGCCTCCACCGGCCGACTCGGCTTTTCGTACCCAGGTCAGGTCGAGGAGTCCACACTGACCCGGCTGTCCCTGTCCCTCTGGCTGCTCCAGACTCCTGCCCACTGGCCGTCCCTCTTGCCCCCACACCCCCACCCAGGGCTTCCGTACAGTTCCACTCAGGACCCCCTCAGGTCACTGTCCTCTGAGCCACCCAGTGACGTGGCCAGCAGAGAGTGTGCTCACCACCAGCTGGTTGTGAAGCAGCTTCCTCCTCTGCCTCTCCAGGTGGTACTGCATGCTCAGGTCCTGCAAGGACCGCTCCAGGTGGAGGGCCCTGGACCGCCACGCTGCAAGACGGACGCCCCCCCGGTCAGCTGAGGTTTACAGGAGGGGCCCCCGGTCCCTCCCGATGCCCTCGGAGGCGGCCAGCAGCCTCGCTGGCGGGCTGAGGGTGTGTGACGGCCCCGCAGGCAGCTGTGCCTGGACCCACGGCGCCTGACTAGCGGAGCTTGCTCGCGCTGTCCAGGGCAGGCAGCGCGATGCATTCGGGGGACACGGTCAAATCCCGCCTGGTGGCCACTGTGCCCACCACCTGAAGCACCTGGAGGCCACCGAGACCCCATGTGAGAAGGGCCGGGGCTGGAGGGACAGGCCTCGTTTGGCTTCGGTGCCACCTAGTTTCAGGGCCAACCGTAGGCCACTACGTCCTTCACTGACCAGTAAGGACAATGACAACCCGATTGCAGTGAGGACGCAGGGCTGACAGGGCCTGGACGGAAACACGCGAGGCCTCCAAGCGCGTCCTGGCCGGGCGCCAGCTCTGGACACCCAGATGCCAGGCGCAGTCCGGTGGCAGCGAACTGCGCATCAGTCCACGGAATTCCCACAGCCCGCTGGCTCCTGGGGGCGCCCCCACAGCTGGGGTGCAATCGGGGGCACGTCTTACACGGCAGAGCCTCGGGCTGCAGCCACGCTCGCTCGATGGCCGCCACGACGGCAGACAGACAGTCCCGGTGCCGCTCCCGGCCGGCCCTGAGCAGTTCCGCGGACGAGGACCGAAGCTCTTGGACGTCCTGCTTCAGTTTCTGTGAAACGAGGGCACACGTGATTAACGGTCATCCAGCACCACGGCGCAGTCACGCGTCACGTGATTAACGGTCATCCAGCACCACGGTGCTGTCACACGTTACCTAGCCACCCACACGGTGCGGACGCAGCCGTAGCCACCACACGGTGCGGACGCAGCCGCATTTAACTTGCTGTGAGCCATGTCCGTGTGACACCAAGTGCCCGACCACTGACGGTGTCGCCCCCGGAAGTCCAGTGAACACGCACCCAGGCCACCTCCAGGCTCGGACTGGGGCCTGGGATCTGCACACCGCAGAGCGTATGTGCTTGCACATGTCCATGCATTTGAAGTATTTACGAAAACCAAGCATTTCACCGATTCCCTAGGAGGTTCCCCTAGGGAACCTTCCCGCACGGAGGGGAAGATGGCTCTCCGTCAGCGCGCTGCGACGTGATTAACGGTCATCCAGCACCACGGCGCAGTCACGCGTCACGTGATTAACGGTCATCCAGCACCACGGTGCAGTCACACGTCACCTAGCCACCCACACAGTGCGGACGCAGCCGCACTTAACTTGCTGTGAGCCATGTCTGTGTGACACCAAGTGCCCGACCACTGATGGTGTCGCCCCTGGAAGTCCAGTGAACACGCACCCAGGCCACCTCCAGGCTCGGACTGGGGCTTGGGATCTGCATGCCGCAGAGCATATGTACTTGCACATGTCCATGCATTTGAAGTATTTACAAAAACTAGGCATTTCACCGATTCCCTAGGAGGTTCCCCTAGGGAACCTTCCCGCACGGAGGGGAAGATGGCTCTCCGTCAGCTCTCTGCTTCCTGCGATGCTGGTCGGGCACCCCCTCCCCCATGTGGGAACGCGGAGCTAAGCTATTGTCCAGACCACCCTCTAAGCTATTGTCCAGGCCACCCCGTGGCTGGGAGCACAGGGAAAACAATGCAGGCCGGGAAATCTACTTACCACAGGGACGTGCACCGCCAAACCCAGGCACACACTAACGATTTCACAGAACTCTGGGGACAGTGCAGCTGACGCACATGTCCTGTACACTACGCCCTCTCCCTGAAGACGTGCCCGTCCCGGACAGAGCGGGGGTGTCATGGCCCCCCGTGTGACGTCGAGCGTCGCACACGGACAGTCGCCACGTATGTCTCTTTCTGTAACGTGGCGAGAGCCTCCGCAGGTGCGGGGAACACGTCGATCAAGCGTCAGAACTAGGCCGAGTTCAAGTACTTTTGTTGCACGGAACACAGACCTTACACACTCTATTCAAAGGCGGGTTAGCTTTACTCTGCTGGAAGGAAATAAAGAATTCATTCCGCACAAACTCATTCTAAATACACTCAGCCCCTTGTGGGGGAGAAACACTTCAGGGGAGAGTGATCCTGTTGACAGATGCTGTGCTCATTGTTGTAACAACGACCTCGCTTCCCGTCTGATTATCACCCCATTGTTTATAACAAAAGGTGAACAATGCTCCTAATCAAAGTTACAAAAACATACCCCAGAGTTTGACCTTGGAGGGCAGCCAACTGTGCTGCCGGTGACACTTGCCCACCTCTCCTTGGGAGCCGGCGCGGATGACACGCTGCAGGAGCGCGTTTCGTCGGACAGGTACACACTCAGGCTCCGCCACGTGCCATTTCACCAAAGCTGAGCACGACTGCAGGGTGACATGGGAGGCACGGCCACCACAGCCATCCCTCGCGAAGCCACATGACAGCCTCTTCCTCAGGGTCCCTATTGCACGTCTTTGTGACGCGCAGGCTTCTACCTGGTGGGTGGGGGTCAGAAAGCGAACCCCCCAACCAGCTCCCAACGCCGCTGGGACGGCGCCCGTGACACGGCAACGTGAGGAGGCAGGCGAGCCCCCGCCGTGCGTGCACGTGGCCTCTCGGCTTCCTAAGTTAAGGCTCCTTTTCATTCCCCAGGATGCACCTGCTCCAGCAGGCTGTCACGTGACTGATCGAGACTAACCCCCAAACGATGAACACTCGCTGTGTAAATGCCGAGTCCGGGGTCCGGTCGGCCCCTTACCTGAGCAGTGTCACGGAGCTGGAGGAAGGACGAGTGTGTCCTCTGCGGATGCCCCTGCGCGCGGCAGAGCCATGCAGCCTCGCGGCTCCTCGTCCCCACCATCCCTTGGTGCTATTGGGGAGACAAGGGGAGACGTCTCAGAGCCTTGGACCCTGGGTCGGGGGCAGCCGCATCGTCTCCGAGGCAGAGATGCTCACGGGCTGTCACTGGGCCCCAGACAATGGAAGAGCAGACCCCGTCGGCCCCGTGCGTGTGGCGGGAACCAGCCACGAAGGTGACCTGCATGTGTGGGGACCACATGGGACAAGTGGGACTCTAGGGGTACGGCACCGCGAGGGGTAAGCCTGAAGGTGGGCCAGTGGGCCCCGGAGGTGAGGGGCAGGTTCCTGCAACAGAAAGAATAGCGGGAGGAAAAAGGGGTACAGGGAGGGGTGCAAAGGCCCCCACAGGCCTGGCGGACAAGGGCGACAAACGGGGTGTTTGCTCAGGGACAGCGCCAGCCAGCACGGGGTTCCTGGTGGGAGGTCCCAGCTTGCAGAGGTCACTCTGGGCGCCCTGGGCAGGGCGGAGGGGAGGGTATGCGGACAGAAGCCGGTGCAGGGTGGATGGGGTGAGTGGGGCGCACAGTGTGCTCAGGGCACAACCTCGCCAGAACTGGGGGGCGGCCTGGGGACAGATGTGGAGGCGCTTCCAGTTCCCGGGGTTCGGGCTGGTGCAGCTGGCAGAGGTGCCGTTAACCCAGGGACTGGGGACGGATAGCGAGTGTAGATTTTTGCTCTGTCTCCCACGGGCCTCGCTCAGGTGTCCAGACTCGCCCGCCACGTTCTCACAGCTCAGTGAGTCCCGGCAAGCCTGGGAAGCGCACGCGCACATGCACACGCACGCGCACGCACACACGCCCAGGCAGCAAAGACACACGGCACAACTAACGGTGACGCCACGGACAGCCCGGCGCCAACCTGAGCGCGGTGAGAGCTCAGACGTGACGTGAAGACGGCGCACGTGCCCCCGGCATGGCGGGGCCGCCCTCTTACCTTTGGGAAGGGCGGGCGGGGGGAGAGGGAAACAGCCCAGGAGGGACGGAGTCTCTGACGGAGGGACAAGTTCCAGGGCTGGGTGCGAGTTCTGTGCCAGCGTCAGCTGTCGGGGTGGCAGAGACACGGCTCGTCTGCTACCCTTCACCACCACCGAACCCCCACTTTACCGCTGTTCCTGCTAAAACCTAGACTCCCCAGCTCTCTTAAGGGGGGTGCGGCCACATGACCCAGCTCTGGCCAGCGAGTGTGGGCAAAAGTCACAGGGCAGGGTGTCTGAGCAAGTGACTCAGGCGTGCCCTCTGTCTTCGATCCTTCCTCCCCCGCCCTCACCTGGCACAGGGATGTGCTGCCTGGAGCCCCAGCAGCCACCTTGCAAGCATGAGGCGAGGGCCACACGGAGCAGTAGGCAGCCACTTGTGTCTAGGAAGCACAGTGCTGACACGTCCTGGCTGACGGCTCTGGTTACACGACGGAGCCACCCAGGAGCCCGGACGGCCCACGTCCAGGCCTCCAACTGCACGGGGAGCAGCCGCCTGGTGCCTGTCTGTTGCGCAGTGTCTAGGCAAACGCCACCTGACGCGCCCACAGCCACCTGGGCTTCCCCTCGTCTAGTTAACCTACTGACAGCTTTGGCTGCTTGAACTTGTCCTAGGCTCTCCCACCACCAAGCACGGTCTCGCTGGCATCTGGATGACCTTCACTAACGTTTCGTCCTCGGAGAGGTCAGGGACAGTCAGCAGGCAGGGCCGCGGCCCCCAGCCCGGCGGGGAGCCTGCGTGAAGAGGGCGGTGCAGGCACGCGGCCCTCGGCCCCTGCTCCACGCGGGGCCGACCTTCTCTCACGGGTGCGCTCGGGGGAATCAGCGTGGAAATTCTAGGCACTGCTGTCGTCACGTTGAGATGACAGCACTGCCATACAAGCAGGAACCCCTGCCCCGGAGACCGGAAGGAACCAGTGGACCGGACAGCTGCTTCACGACCTGGGCTCCCTGGCCCCGCGGTGCCGCGTGAGGCTGGGCTCACCCCGCTCCGCACCCCAACAGGAGGAAGGTGATGGCCTTAAGGGCATAGACTCTGTGACAACGTTTGGGGGGAGGAGCAGACGTTCAACTTCCTTCTCTCGCTGGTGATGCCGAGCGGGGGGCGGCTGAGCACCGGGGCGCAGGCCCGGAGGGACGCTGCCCTCTCCGCTGTCCGCTGACTCTTCAGGGCGGAAGCCATCCGTGCCGTCACCATGATGCCCACTGCCATCGGCCCTGACGGGAGGGCTCGCCCTGCGCACACGGTGCTGGTCCACGTCCTTGACCTGAGTGGTCAGCACGGGAGTCCTTAGACCGAAGCTGGTGACCCGGACTGCTGCCCGGGAAACTGCTGAACAAACTCCGCCCCTGCGCCAACGGCAGGGCATAGGCGACCAGCAAGTCCTCGAACGTGGCCGTGACACAAAGCTGGCAGCTGAGAAGGGCTGGGAAGCAGGCTGGTGGCAGACTCGCCAGAGGGGCCAGAGGCGGAACAGAGAAACGATGGGAGAGGCCAGAGAACCCAGCAGGCGGCTCAGGGGCAGCGCCGAGCAACCCCGCAGAGCTGGCGCCCGCTCAACACAGCGGGTGCCGGGGCGCCGCACGCTCAGGCCCGCCGACGAGCCAGAGATTAGGACAGCAGGACAGCGGCCACCGCCACCTCCCTCTGAATAAAGTCAGCTCACTGCATGCAACTCAACTCGGTCTACGAGACGTGCAAAATTACCTCTGCCAACTTCAGATGAAGAACAGCATTTTCGGTTTCCAGCTCAACTATTCTCTCTTCTTTGGCCTGCAACCGAGGATCCCAAAAAGAAAATTATCAGCTTCGACGATACTCACCCGTTGTCACTTTGTAAAAGCAGAAATTCTCCAGGTACAGGGAGGTGACATCTCCAGGCGCCAGCCCCCAGGAGAAGCACAACATTCCAAGGTGCAGGTAATAAAAC